TGGGGAAGAAGAAACCTTTGATGACCTCGAAAATCAATGCGTTGGGTGTTTCGAAGATTATGGCTTTACAGAGAAAAAGGAGAACTGGTTGCAATGCGTTCTCTGTTCTAGATGGTTACACGAAGGTTGCACATCCTACCCCAATACATGCCAACTATGTTTTGCCTCCCCAAATATGAAAAAGGCTATAGTATCTGGTTCATATCTCCTTCACGTTTTAGAAGAGATGGACCAAATTAAGTTTTTATTATTTGCGCCAAATAAATAACCAAAGCTTATATTTATATTATACTTTTTTGCAGAGCCTTATGCGAATAAATAAAAAACTTCTTGAAAGTTTTTCAAAAGGTGGTCCATCTCTCCTCGATTTACCCTATTTTGCCCCATTTTGTCATTCGCTACTGTTACAGCAAAACAAAGTCTGTTATTAATAGGCAAAACCACAGTAGGAATTCATTCATCCCTTTTTCTCGCGGCTTTGTGACTATCAAACGTCTATTATTATTATTGTTATTATTATTATTCTCTTCATTGTAACAAATATATTTGTAGAGTTAACAAAACCCTAGCACTAAATTGCATTAAATTAGTATACCTGCATTATGTTGACATTCTGAGCAATAGTACATCGAGAGTTTCAGAAAGGGCCGACAGGAGGCGTAATTGCGTAAACTTTTAGTTTAACCTTTAAAGTACAACAGAATGTCAATATATTTTAAGACAACGTAAGAAACAACATCATTAAATTTATAAATATATTGTTATTTTCCTTGGGAACAAACATTTTTATTCGGATTTTTTTGAATGCAACTGCTCGGATATAATATAATATAATAATATAATTTGCTCTGTTTGGCGATCGTTTCTCATATTTGATTTATGAGTGTGATTATTTGTTACTTTTTTTTATTATATTTTGAAATATTTTCATTAGCAAATTGCTGCAAATAATCACAGGTTTTACATTGTTTTTTTATATTAAATACCAAGTACATATAACTATACCTCTCGATCATATGTAAGATGAAGAACTAATATACCATTTAATTTATTTAAAATATCAAAGTTGAAATGAAAAACTCTATGGTAACTATTGTCATTCTATGCACTACTTTGAGACGAAGCGCGTTTGTATTTAAAATTTTTCAGTGAAATAAACTTTTATAAAATAATGCAGCGGGAGTGAGCTACCTTGCCGTCCGTCGCCAAAACAAATTCTATTTTTCCAAATTTTATAATTACCCAATGAATTAATTATTGAATTATCAGCGACGCCAGCCCTGCCCTGAGAAATTCACGGACGGGAACGTTTTCTTTTTTAAAGCGCCTTCGACTTAAAACTACGCGCAAAGTTGGAAGTTTCGGCCGTTCAAAATTCCCCAACTTTCGCTCTTCTCTGTTGCGCGCGCGCGTCTCCCGCCTCGCGCCCTCTCGCTTTAAAATTAGTTACTCCCTCATGACCGATTTTATTAGCGGTCGTTTGACGGCACGCAGGTCCGGATCCAGCGCTATTTCGTACGTACATTAATTAAGCCATAGCAGGGTAAATGAATACATGTTATACGCTATACGCCACAGAGTTTTTCCTTGTTTTTCCCATTAAGAAACTAAAAATGTGTGGAAATAAATGAAATATTTGTTGTTTGTTGTCCAATACTTGTTTAGAGTCGTATTCAATTCAGCCTTATTCAATGATAAGTTTACTTTTATGGTGTTATCTTTGTTTTGAGGACAAATTATACTTACACTAACAATTATTGCTATATGTATATACTACTTTATATATAGTAAAAGGATATATAGTATATACTATTTTTAAGAAACCATTAATTTAATCAATTTCATTTCCTTGGACTGCAGCTTTGAGTTGAAGCTAATTTTTGCCCTCTTCATATAAGTTAACGATGTAATTGCGATTGACTGATATTGTCGTCATTTTTCTCTCATATTATAGTGTTTTTCAGAAAGTTACAGAGGAGGAAAACATTGTTATGTACGCAAAGAACCTACCAGGTAGTGCAGCTAGTACCATCATCCGGTTTGGCGTCAATTTATGGATTTTTCTTATTTTTATCAATGTACCAACACGGGAAGAAAATCATCTTCTTCATCTGAGGAACTATTCCTTTCCTCTTGACTTTATAATTAACAGTTCAAAGTGTCTCAGAAAAAATGAATAATGAGGATAATTGTACTGCACTCTTTATCGATCTTGCTAAGGCCTTAGACACAATTTCCCATACCTTGTTGGAAAAGGCTTTAGAAGTTTGCGAAGTGAGGTGGATTGTGTTGGAGGTTTTTGGGAGCTACTTTACAGCACAGGTTAGGATCAGCAAGACTATGAGCGAGATAGGGACATTTAAACACGGGTGATAGGACCTATACTTTTTATTATTTACTTGGACAGGCTATGCAGTTCTGTCTTAGATGGCAAACTTATTTGATATGCCGATGATACCGTCATAGTTTTCTCTGTAGGAACTTGGTCGGAAGTCAAAGAAAAACTAAAGGCAGATTTTATGAGCATTAAAAATATTCTCGATTCGCTAAAGCTAAGTTTAAATATTGCAAAAAAACAATATTTTACCTATTCCCTTACAGAAGTCGGTCGACCTTATTACAATGAAATTCTTCTGAAAAATGTAACGGAACCACTGAAAGAATGCGCCGATATCAAATAGGATCGGGAACGGGATCCACATATTCTTTACCTGTGCAAGAAACTGTGATGCACTACACATACATTTTTATCTATTGCAAAAGATTATGTTTAGGAAAAATCTTGGTATAATGCCATGGGGACGAGCACAGAACTGTCATCTAAAAGTAACTTAGAACTATATATTGCGCACTTTGCTGAGAAAACCAAGACTATATCCAAAGAGTTGCATATAACGGAGTTTGTATATGATAACCGCGTGTACTTTTGTCCATACAAATGAAAAATTTGACAATTTTATTTGTCACAATTTCAACACGAGAGGAAATTTACATAATTTGTTTAATACTACATATTGGGCAAACAGTCAGGGAAAACATTGTGTATCATATATCGGCCCCAATTTATATAATATAATCCCTGCTAATTTACGTAACATTCAAGAAAAAAAACAATTAAAAAATTGTTTAAAAGGTATTTTGGATTGAATAAACAAGCCTTTATGTGTCTGTTTTAACTTCGGAACTATGAAACTAAGATAAACTCTTATCAGTGAACTAATACCACATTTCAAGTTATCTTATAGTTCTCGATATTAATGTTTGCGGTGCCTTACTTTTCTTTTTTTGTTATACTTTTGGTATGGCGATTTTTTTCTTTTTTTTTCGGATAGGTTTTCAGTGTTCCCAAACCTTTTATTATTGTTATTTTATTATTTATTATTCTTTATTGTTATTTATACTAATATCTAATCTTCTGTGACGACAGAAGTCTGGACAATTAGGCACATACGGGTATTGCTTTACTGAGGTGCCAGAGATATATAATGGTGTAAGTGAAGCAGTTATAAGATTTGCTGTGTAGTAATTGTTGTTATGAATTAAATTGAAATTGAAATTGAAACGTCCGAAGACTGCTTTTGGGAGTGTTTTAGTGTTACTGCCTCAACTGTTTGATCGAACAGTAGCCCATATAAGTTCTATAAGATTGACAGGATAATAGAGCGGCACGAGCAGCCCACTGCTGGCAAAACGATATTTGTGGAGGTTTAATATATGGAATAATGCCATTTTTAATGCGTCCCTTCGATAGCTCGCGTTATCAAAACATACCTAATAAATAATTTATGACTTCGGAATCATGCGAAAAAACTCCGATATATCTAATAATGCCATACGTACCCGTTGACTTCAAAATAATGGTAAATTGTAAATGTTGCAAAAGAGAGAATCAAAAGATTCATGCAATAGCGACGGTGTATTGGGGTACGGTAGCAACAACAAATGTTTATTTCGCACAATCTAGTAGGTTAGTAACTTCATTACACTTTCTGCCAAGTATGACAGGGAAGCGTCAAGTCGTTTTAAAGTACTTTGCAAGAATGATATTTAGATTTTTAAATTAAACGTTCTGCAAATCAGTACATATTTTTTCTAGTAGCCTGTACACAGCAATGAAGCATTGCCGTGGCATAAAGTCAAGGTATAAACTTGCAATTTTGCGGACCCTAGAAACTTTCCTAGTCCGATCCTGCGTCGTGTATATCCGAATGTTTTACGTCTGTCTTTGTCTGCCGCTTGCGGACGTGGGCCCGCATATAACCCGCGTTCCCAGAGGAACGAGCCGATCGGGATCTGTTATTTATGTGCGTAGGCCCGTTTTGTATCCGTTAAAATTGCGTGCAGGTGCAAAAATTACGCCCCGCCTTCGCACGGTCGTTTAAGATGACTACTTCCTGTAGTAGAACTTCGGAAAGGCGTGGTAGATCATCGAGTAAACAACTATCGTATCGTTTTTTAACGGCTCGGTTACGCGAATGACGTCCATTACCAACAAATTAACATGCCGGGGCGTCGAAAAACAGTTTGAAATGAGTCCAGTACGTCCCTGCACTCGGCCCATTAAAATCACAGACCATTTAACTGCCAACAACTCACGTCGCTACTAATTATAAACCAGGCCTTATCGTTCAAGGCATTTTAAAACGACTACTGCGTCTGTTATCAGCGCCGATGTTAAACAACGCTTCCATAAAAAAATAATTACTAGCATTGTCGCTAAATAACAAAACAAACAAACGGGATCCTCCGCGGGGGCAAATAGAACCAGAGTTCTATTGACGGTGCATCAGCTGCAATAAATATAGAATTTTAACAGTGTGTGTGTACTCGAGACTCGTTATCCGACAAAAGCTGGCGGAATACGAACCGGCGGCAGAACGGTTTATATACAACGAAACACATAAGGGGAAAATAAATACATAGGCAGCCTATATACCCGTGCGCGCCGTCCCTCTCTGTCGCACATCTGTGAACAAAACGCATCAGTCTGCCGAGTGAGACCGTCGAGTGCTTCGTGGTAGAGTTTCGCCGTGGAAAATTCGTGTTCGTCAACAGTACGCGATGGAAAGTGGCGCGGCGTGGCACTTTTCCGACCGTAAACGGTGGCCGGCGTCGGTTTCCGTCCGTTTTTGGTGAAAATCGCCGCGGAAACGCCGAATAAACCGGCGAAATGCGGATGCGTATAGGTTATGTTCGTCGTTAAGGGCGATTGTTGCATGTTTACCGTACCAGCGGGTGTTTATGCCCACCTTTTCTATTCGGCTGCCCCGTTCGGATGAAAGTTTTTAGTGAAAACGCGTTAATTCGGTTCAAATTAATAGGTGCGTCGTTATTCGATAAATCAATTCGAAATTGGTGAAATTTTCGGGGTGCGATCCGAGGCAGCGGGCCATGACGTCTCTTTAAAGTGACAGTGCGAAACGAAAAGTTGTCGGTAGTGAATGTTTTGTGCAAATTCGGATTATTTAACGGATTACCAGATGCCGCTTGGAATATAAACGAAACCCAAAGGTAAATTGTCCGCTATCGCTTGCTTTTGCTAACGTTAACAGTGCTGAATGATTATAATAGCATCCAATCCTGTTGCACGCGTCCCCCCTTCACCCCGTACGCGTTACCTTGTTTACAAATTCATTTTTACCTCATTGTAGCATCAACGTTTTGCAGTGCTTGCTAATTGCAAAATCTGTGACCATCAGAGGCGCAACAAGGAGTACCAATTTTAGGCCTACACTTTCTGGGTATTTAACGCAATAAACCTTCGATTGCCGCCTAAAATAGGTAGTCCGGATACAGTGCCATAATGACGTATTTGTCGTACCATTTTGTCCATACTTTCTGAGGGATATTAAATTTTGGCGTAAACTAGTCAATTCTTTTGCCTCGAACGGTAACCATATAATAATTTTTTATTTTTTATTGGGTATATTGCCTTGTTCTCATTTGCATGGAGATATCCATTCGTTGCATCCAAATGTATAGGTGATACATTAGTGAACGAGGGCTGTCGTCTATTGCACAAAGGTAAGTGACGAGGTAAGTCTTAATTAATTAAGCATAATCAAAATTGTCTCCAATAGAGAGGGGAGAGTATTACACAGAGAAGTATTTAAAACTGAACCGAATCACTGACTAACTTAAAATATATATCTACCTATTTATTACAAGATTGATAAATATGTTGAAATTTGGACTATTATGAAAAATTCCCCTCGTAAAATTGAAAGTCATAAATGGAGGGACTTTTTTGATTATGATGCACAGATCTTTAATTATGTTTAAGAAAATACTAACGGGGTAAGTAAAGACCGTTCTCAATCATTATGTTTATGTACCGTCAAATAGGCAACAAAGGCAATATATGCAGTGTATGTTGGGTTTTGTAGAGGATTAATAGGGTCGGTATAGGTATATTTGAGCTGTGTGTCCTATTTTTTACAAGTTTTTTGGTACGATCATTTATTTGTGTTTCGTAAGACCTATGTGTTGTTAAATAAATATGAAGATATTTTAAAATTCTAGAAAAAGTGTAGGCAGATCTAAAAGAACATTCCGTACCTTACAAAGCATTATTTTTTCTGTATATTATACACTGGATACTAAAAGAGTTGAAGCGCAATCGAAGTTATTCACGATTCGCTTAAAACTCGATTCAAATTTTACCCTTTTGTTCATTCTTTCGTACTAAGCTTCTTAAGACGAAGGAAGACGCCGAAGATGAATATTCAAGACCGTTGTTCTTTGTATCGGAAATGATTTCGCTTCCCTTTTGCGTCATTGCGGCAGGGGAGTGGGGTTTAGGTTGTTAGCGCATAGCAAAGACAGAAAACAAAAAAACAGTTAAATTACTGCTGTGCAGTCTTTGACCCTTGTCTTGACTCGACGGATAAAAGAGGGGTACGAAAATTTCAAAACTCATGCATAATTTGGCATCTTTTTCTTATCCACTTAAGTTTAAGTTTAATTTGTAGTGTGTGTTCACACAGTTTTACACACGAAGATGTAGTGTGTTTGCAGCACAGAAAAAAACTGTTTAACAGATCTGATTCTTAATGCCAATTCGATTTACTGACGAAATTGGTCGACGACAGTTGCTAAAACTAAATCAGTATTGGATTTGTCTTCATCTCAGATGAAATAAAATAAAATGATTTTGGTTTATATTTGTTAATGTTTTCCTAGCTGGAACCCCCACCCCTTTCCTTTCCTCCATAGTTTGCATTATGTGTTATCTTAGTTGGGCCCTACTACAAATATAGGGAAATTCCCTTAGGGCTGACTTTTATAAAAGCCTGTTGCTACGTGCGAATATGTTATACTCCAGAGCTATTAAGCAGTTACGTGTCGTATAGTGACGTAATCAAAAACGATCCGTATATTTTAGCTATATTGCTACCATTTTTAGATGCGGATTTCAAAACTAAGAAACCAACTTCCTGTGTCAGTTCACGACTTGCAGTAATGAACTAGATTAAGATGATGTAATTGCATAATTGCTCTGTCTGGAATTTATTTTGTTTTTGCTTAAATGTTATTCGAGGAAAATCTTGAAATTTACCAAACTATAACTCTAATGGGCAATTGTGAGGAGGAAAAGGATTTACTTACAACCACCAAAGTGTCTTGCTTGACATTATTTTAATCTGCAATGACAACATGCAGAAATTTGCAGCAATAATGCAGGTTACAGATGTTTATGTCGCGAACGCATAACCTAAAAATTGGAACGTCTTAACTTATTGTCGGGTTATTTATTGCGAAGTTATTTACTTCCACGTACCTGTATATACACAGGGCCGACGCGGCGACTTCTACCTGGCACGCATCGATAAAAACATTTCAAAGGGCAATATAGCCACCCTCTTGCTTATTCGCATTATAGGTTATGCCTTTGGGTAACGTTCGACGGAGGCGACTGCGCCATTCAAAAACATTTCGTCGTTTCATGGCTTTCGCGTTTTACGAGTGCCGTTTTAATAAAAGGCGAATATGTTCATCGATTGGTACGAGCATCGGGAAACGTAAAAACGACTGTTTGGCGCGGCCCGGGCAAGAAACAAGTCAAATCGCCATCAATCCCAATAATTCTCCCCTCTCGTTCGTATCCTATACACTTCAGTTCCAACGGCCGTCGCCGGGCACGTTATCCCGTTAAACAAAAGGAAAACGGGACAAAGAAAAGTCGGAGGTGTTCCCGCAGGAACACTAACAATAACGTCGGCTCCATCCAAGATGTATATATAAGCATCGACCTCTCCGTCTTCCAGAATTCGTCGGTTTTTGTATTTACGCCCCTGCTTGTTGTTTTTTCATTTAGAAAGAACGTTTGTCCCCCACCAATAGCCATTAAGTTTTGTTTTTGAAATTTGCTACAATTTCTTTAAATATACTACGCGACGTAGAAGTGGTTGGGGTAAATGTGAATTAGAAACGACTTTCAAACAAACCCTAAAACCTCATAAGTTGTCGTCCAATCCAAAATGAGATATGGCAACCGACTCGTTCGTCTATATTTTTTATCAAATACAATTTACTTCCATTTAGACTTGTGTCGACAAATGTTGGATTTTATTAAAATTAAAAACACTGGTGGGGAAAAACAAATATGATAATAAATTATTATGCAATAAAAGGCCCCACCCACAAAACTATATTTTGCCAAATATTTAAATTCAGGCTTGAATGAACATATGCAAAATAATAAAAACGTAACATATGAACACCAATTTTTTTAATCTCCACATCACGTGGCAATAGGGAAAAGCTTTAAAAAAATATGACTTTTAAACTATAGGACATTTTATATATTCGTCAGGTTCAAAATAAACAACTATTCTATATTAAAAGACTTTTATTGAAGTCCTTACAAGAAAACACCTATTATTCTGTTTTATTGGCATCCAACGTTAGGTTGTTATACTGGCAGTAAGCTTTCATCCTCACAATGTTGACGTTGATACTATATCCCGTGCTGCATTTAGGCCTTCCCATCCATAATGCCTCCACCCCCCCCCCCCCTAAAAGAGCTCGTGGAAGTACAGTAATTCTTCCATGCCGAGTTTAGAATCAATCGAGCTCTCAGAGCCTCCTAGTGTGTCGCAGCTGGTTAGGAAATGAATTTTAAACATCCACAACCACGATATCAAGGTGCCTTCTTAGATGGCAGTGTCCTGGTAGGATTTCTGCCAGCGTATCGTAGTAGCGCGCTTGATTGAGACTGAGCTTCCACTTTTGGTCCTGAGGCGTTAAGGGTCATTAGAACCAGCCATTTACTCGGCTTGCCCTTTAGCACGCTATCCTGTCATCCATCTCGTTGCGCATAATACAACAGAAATTGGCAGAATATAATGTCTTTTTTCTGCAGAGGGCTCACCTTCACAGGATTAAGGATCGCATAAATCTCTGGAATGCCCTATGTGTCAGCTCATGTCCCTGTGTAGGTTTTGAACCTGTCCATGTAGCAGAATAGTCCAGGGAATAGGTCAAAGTTATGAGAAGCAAATACAACGATAGGAGATAGATAACCGCCAGTAAAACGTGGGAAAATATTATTAGTAATAAGCTCCATTGAAAAACTTCAATAGGCAATTCTGGCTGGCTGGCCAATCAAAAAAGATGCGGTAGATGTGGTATGTCATCTACATCTACAGTTGTCTTGCCGAAAAATCGAATCTTGCAGTTGTTGCAGTTGATGTTTCTCTCAAAAAAAAAACTAATGTTAGGCGCCACAATCATAAGTATATAGCCCAACTATGGTATTGCAATTTCTCCTTATTAGAATTAGATGTAAAATTGAAACTTAATTTATTAATGCTAGTTGATTAAGTTAATAGCGGTTAATTATTGTAATTATTTTTTGCTCGTACGGATCGACAGCGAACGTCCGGACGTTAAGGAATTTAAAAAAACGGATGGCCGCGAGCCATGGTACTTTGATGTAATTAAAATTCGGAAAGCGAGAACAAACAAGGGACGCGGAAAGGGAAAAAAACGAGGAACGTCCCCAAAACAAACCGTCTCGTTTGTAGGGATCCGCTCTCCTCTCCGAGTGTCTAAAGAGTGCCCCCGCGGGGGTACGCTCAGGCGACGACTTAATTTCTCCTTGACGTAATTACCGTTAGTTAAGTGGGTATTTGAAAGCGGCAATTTTACGGGCCAGCACCTTTCGACACACATTTGTATCGCACGGGATTAAACGTTCAAAGAATAACTCTATTATTTCGATATTTACCCTCAAAACCGATCCCCTACTCCTCCTTTCCTATCACTTTGTGCACCAATAAAGAGCGACCGTACTTATTCTTTTTCCCTTCAAAATCGAAACTTCCAATAACTCCAAAAGTCATCCTTCCTGCAATTTTTAAAATTAACAAAAAAAAACATTTTTTCAAAAATAGGTGCTGTGATTAATTTCATTCCAACGGATTACCGCCTTTGTGAACAAAAAACTGTCAAGTCGATGATATCTTAAACTAGTCGGCTCACATAGATCAGTTATGTTATGAGCTTTC